AAATAAATAAATAATGCAGTTTTAGATGGGAAATTTTTGAAGTGATAAAATATGGATCTTTTCTTATATCCGGTCTTTATTTTCGCGCATTCTCTTTAACAGAGACAGGCAAACGGGCAAATTGGGGAATAAAAACGGTTTTCACACAAACTTTGACATCTTCCACTTTTGAAAAGAAAGTTTACCTATAATCTAAATAAGACTGCTTTAGATTATGCTTTCATTTGATCACTTTTGTGCTTGATAAATCCGTCGTCTTAATCATCTTTTTTCTCTCTCTCTCTCTTTCTCTTTCATACTCACACACGCACACGCACACAGAGCCCATCAACTTGATCAGATTTGTTAGACCTTACGCGACCTGAGCGATGGTTAAGATATAAAAAATGGCTGGTTTTGGTGGTCACCAAATCTTGAATATTTCGCAGCTGGTTTCATTCATCTAGTGACACATGAAGGCCCCGAAACACGCACAAAGAGACACATGCACATTCTACTAGATTTAAATATGACTTGAACTAACCAAATCGCTTTATACTTTATCGAACTACCTACATTTGGTGTATATCTTAGCATTCAGGGATAACAAGGGAAGCTTTCTTAACTCGTTAGCCTGGATATGATCGTAAGAATGATATCCCACTCTGATGTTGTCCGTCATATGATGGATGAAATATTAGCACATTTTTGCCGAGAAGAATCTGCTATCGATAACCAAATCTCTTTATCACACAATTTCATTCGAAATGGAAGTGAGCTCAACAATTCTAATCCAAAATTTACCCCAACGCGCAACTTGTTTTCGCGTACCGCTGAATACAGCCACCTTTAATGTCAGTTGGTCTCTTTATGTGAATTTAATTATGCTCAAACATCTTATGCTCAATTCTGGTATTATAAACTTTATTGGATATTAACTATTCCTATTATAGATGGGCTATTTCAAAGCTATCTGCAATAAGTCGTGTAATCCTTCACATGTTATTTGTTTTAGGCATTGACTCCGCAAACAGAGAACATTCTTGGCCATTTGCAGTTACAGTCCGAGCTTGCGTGCTCTAAACTGGCGGGACTTGTCAAAAAAACTGCTGCTCTGGACGCACCTACGACATCCGTCGAACCGGTTGCAGCCTCTGAGAGCCCCAGCATCAAGTCCGACTGGGACGCATGTAGCCAAGACCAGGCGTCAAGGGTAATCAGCACAATCAACAGCCTGATCGGAATTCAGGTTAGCCCGATTGCCTACCAGACCAGCCAACACCCAAACGCTCTGGTACATCGTGAACAGGCCGATCGAATGCGCAGCCTTCAAGTTCGGCTGCGCAATACCCTCGATCGTCTAGACTCCAAACTGGAGGCCAGAGATCGACTGGTGCGGGCGACTGACGAGTTGTCGCAGTGGATCTTGGGCGCCGAGAAAAGATTTTCTCAGCTCACTCGAGTGTGGATCTCGTCAAGATCTTCAGCGCCGATGCAGCATGGACCTCTGAAGATCTCCCAGCCTATTGGACAGGGGGACAGGGACGAACAAGCTTTACGTAAATATAGTCCTCTATCTTGTAGCCTCAACCAAAGTGTAAAAAAAATAAAACAACAGAAATTCTAGAAAATAGGGTGCTAGGTCATTGTTGTGTTTACTTCCATTTCGAGTGAAAGTGTTTGGTGAAGAGATTCAAATGTCGATTCCACCAGAAGGCGACGGCGGATTGCTCCTGACCAACTGTCGATTGGCTTTACTGGAAGATACATGCTGAGGCAATCTCCTTCGATTACGGTGAAAAGGTGCTAAGCTTTCGTCCGTCAT